AACTGACTCCTTGAATTTAACCCTGCCAAATGCAAAATCATGAAGATCGGGGAAGGGCAAAGAAGACCACAGACACAGTATAGTATAGGTGGCCAAAGATTGCAAACCTCACTCAGGAAAAAAACACCTTGGGGCGAGTATAATGCCGAGGACATCTCCTGAGGCGCACATCAATCAGATAACTGCTGCAGCATAAGAGCGTCTGGCAAACCTAAGGATAACGTTCCGATACCTCAGTAAGGAATCGTTCGAAAGACTATACACTGTATGTCAGGCCCATACTGGAGTACGCAGCACCAGTTTGGAACCCACACCTGGTCAAACATGTCAAGAAATTAGAGAACGTGCAAAGGTTTGCAACAAGGCTGGTTCCAGAGCTAAGGGGAATGTCCTACAAAGAAAGGTTAAGGGAAATCAGTCTGATGACACTGGAGGACAGGAGGGTCAAAGGAGACAAAGACATAAAATACTGTGCGGAATAGACAAGGTGGACAAACACAGGATGTTCCAGAGATGGGACACAGAAACAAGGTCACAATTGGAAGTTGAAGACTCAGATGAGTCAAAGGGATGTTAGGAAGTATTTTTACAGTCACAGTTGTCAGGCAGTGGAATAGCCTAGAAAGTGACGTAGCGGAGGCGGGAACTATGCATAGTTTTAAGACGAGATTTGATAAAGCTCAGGGAGCAGGGAGAGAGGACCCAGTAGCAATCAGTGAAGAGGCAGGGCCAGGAGCTATGACTCGACCCCTGCAACCACAAATAGGCGAGTACACACAACAGGAAGGGCACTGTAATAAATCAGAGAATACCTAACAGGGAGGCAACAGCGAGTCATGGTCTGTGATGAAGTATCATAGTGGGAGCCTGTGACAAAGCGGGATCCCACAGGGGTCAGTCCTAGGACCAGTGCTATTCTTGGTATATGTGACTGACATAACGGAAGGGAAAGACTCGGAAGCGTCCCTGTTTGCAGATGATGTGAAGTTAATGAAGAGAATTAAATCAGATGCAAACCAGACAGGTCTACAAAGAGACCTGGACAGGCTGGACACGTGGTCCAGCAACTGGCTCCTAGAATTTAACCCTGCCAAATGCAAAGTTATGAAAATCGGAAAAGGGCAAAGACCACAGACAGTATAGGCTAGGAAGCCAAAGACTGCAAACCCCACTCAAGGAGAAAGATCTAGGGGCGAGTATAATACCGAGTACGTCGCCAGAAGCACACATTAACTAGATAACTGCTGCAGCATATGGGCGCCTGGAAAACCTCAGAATAGCGTTCCGGTACCTCAGTAAGGAATCGTTCAAGACTCTCTACACTGTATGTCAGGCCCATACGGAGTATGCAGCACCAGTTTGGAACCCACACCTGGTCAAACATGTCAAGAAATTAGAAAAAGTGCAAAGGTTTGCCACAAGGCTGGTTCCAGAGCTAAGGGAATGTCCTACGAAGAAAGGTTAAGGGAAATCGGTGTGACGACACTGGATGACAGGAGGGTCAGGGAAGACGAGACAACTACAAAATACTGCGTGGAATAGACAAGGTGGACAGACAGAATGTTCCAGAGATGGGACACAGAAACAAGGGGTCACAATTGGAAGTTGAAGACTCAGATGAGCCAAAGGGATGTTAGGAAGTATTTTTTCAGTCACCGAGTTGTTAGGAAGTTGAATAGTCTGGCAAGTGATGTAGTGGAGGCAAGAACCATATATAGTTTTAAGACAAGGTATGATAAAAGCTCATGGAGCAGGGAGAGGGAGGACCCAATAGCGTCAGTGAAGAGGCGGGGCCAGGAGCCGAGTCTAGACCCCTGCAACCACAATTAGGCGAGTACACACACACAAAAACACAAGTTCTGTATTTCTGCTGTACCAGTTTCCCCATTGAGGTATTTTTTTCATATTTCCAGTTGTATGTTTTATATACTTTTTTAACCTCTTGGAAAGAAAAGTGTTTTAAACAAGTTCTTTGTCTAGGCTCTTCAATGCCACTTTTGTTAGCAAGGTTACCCCCTGTTTGATAAAAAATATTAATGCAAGAATGAATAAACAAATTTGGGATGCAAGAAATAAGGAAGATATCAGCAATCAGAATTTTATCAATCTAATACAGGATGAGAATAGGGCAGTAAAAATAGTGATGGAGATCACCAATATACTTCAACTATGTTACACCAGCTGGAAATTGTGATTTCAACCTCTCCTCCTCTAGGTGCTCCATGGAAGAATTGGCCATGACCGCACTAAGTGCAGGTGCATGGTTATCTCATACAAATGTTGGCATGAAGAGTTCATGAATTGTGTTGAGCTTTGCATTATTTTCAGCTACTTCTCCTTGACAACACTATGCCAACAATCAGAGCCAGCATAACTTATCTATAAATGAAACATCAGGAAGTTGAAACCTCACATCCCAGCTGGTGTAACCTGGCTGAGATATGTTAATACAAATGGTCTAGAAACCAATTTGTAGATCAAGGAGATTTGTGCAACATGT